AGAAAAAAAAAATGAAATCTGATCAAAAATTGACGAAATTATACTCTCATGAATTCTGCTGTGCTAGCGATATTTATACATTGGCGATTTTGCCCACTTTGAGTCCTATTTTCGGCCAATTACATTGCTCCATTAGACCAAATTCTTAGCTATTTTGCTAGTATGTGTTCCATTTTATCTACTGAGCACAAGAAATTGCCCAATCAACTATTTCAACTACCCAATAAAGTGATTGGAAATTGGTAATTTGGCCAATTTCACACAAAATTCAAAATACATACAGTGGAACCTCAAAAGTCGAACTTAATCCGTTCCAGGAGCTAGTTCTAAATTCGAAAAGTCTGAAATTCAAAGCAATATTTCCCATAAGAAATAATGGAAATACAATTAATCCATTCCAGATTATTATTATTATAATCAAGGGGGAAGCGCTAAACCCGGAGGATTATACAGCGCCTGGGGGGGGGGATGTGGAAGGCATTCAGGCTTAATTCGGGGAACTGGAGCACAGATCCAATTCCCTAAATCAAGAGCCCCTCACTAACAAATCCATTCCAGAAACCCAAAAATATTTGCACAAAAAATACATTTTACAGAGATTAATTACAGTTTTACATACAACAAATACTATAGTTTTTAATTATGTATAGTAATACATATAAAATAACATTTTTATTTACCTTTATTGAAGATTGGTGATGGGATCTGGAGGATAGGGGGAGGAGGGGAGGGGGGTTGGGGTTAGTGTTTTGGGAAAGGGGAATCCCCTCCATGAGGACTTCAGGTAAAGCCCTCTTTGGGGTTACTTCCCTCCTCTGTCTTTTAATGCCACTAGGACCAGCTTGAGAGTCACTGGACCCCTGTCTCACAAAATAACTGTCCACAGTCCTCTGTTTCTGGCGCCTCTTTAACATTTCCCTAAAATGGGACATGGTTCTGTCACTGAACTTGTTGCAAAGATGGCTTGTTTCAGCTTGCTCAGGGTGGTACTTCTTCACAAACATTTGGACATCATTCCACCTGGCACAAATCTCCTTAAGCTTTGAAGAAGGCACCTCATCCACTCCCTATATTAACACCATTCGCAACATCAGCTTCCTTGATTTGTTCTTTCTTTGACAGGATAGAACTGATGGTCGACTTGTTTTCCCATACATCCTGGCAAGCTCAACAAGTCTCACACCACTCTCATACTACTGTATTATTTCCTTCTTCACATCTATGGTGTTTCTCACTTTCTTTACCACAGGGGTACCACTAGAAAATTTCTTTGGGCCCATGGCAGCTTATTCCACTAGCACTAAACACAACGAAATAATCGTAAAATGCATGAATGAGAGCGCAGGTTAGTGTTCACTCAAGCATAAACAAAGCTAGACTGCTCATGGCGCCTGCGCGGGGATGCAGAGAGCGGGCGGCAGACAGGTCCCATACCCGGCGGTCCGAAAATAGGGGCGCGTTCGATAGTAGGGATACAGTTTGTCCGAAAAAATGGTCCTATTTTCGAAACGTTCAATATGTGATACGTTCGATTTTTGAGGTTCCACTGTATTCCAATTTCAATATAGGGTCCAGAATAAATGATGCTAGCATTCCTGGCACTAAAATAACATTTCCTCTGTTTATTTGTTACATTTCCAGGCTTAACAGATGAATTTCATTTTGATTTTTTATTCACAAAGTATTTTTATTCACACCAAAAAATAGAGGATTTACTTTTATACAATATTGTAATAATTGTATAAATAATATCAGCGCATTCGTGAATGTATATTGGACCCACCAGCTGATGTGTACTGGATATGTGACATCATCTGTTCACTCTTTAACATTAGCAAAAATCAAACATTTCCACTACCTTGAGCTCACTTTCAAGCTAATTTCAATACTAAAACCAATCAAAATCATCTCTATTTCTGTAATATATCATCCATTCTATCAAATGAGACCAAGAAACTGTGAATACAACTGTAAAAACCATATGAAAATACGCTGCAAAGTTGTTGTTTCAGTCCAAAAACACGGTCGTAGTTTTTTCTCATTACGCACTGCGTGCTACAGGATTTGTTTTATGTGGTGCATTTATTTACTTACTTATTATTATTTGGATATGATACATAGTTGTACAAAAGAAATACAGTGGTTGAGTGTACATGCCAAAAGTCCCTTGTAAGCAGAGCATTGTGAGCAGGCTTAAAATTAACTTAAGATTAATTAAGCAATGATATATTCAGTGGTAAAAATTACAGTAAACAAATTACAATATGAAGTACAAATGAGTATTTCAAATAAGAGGCTTTATAGTTGTACAAATCTGTAGCACCTTTGGTGAGTTACTGAGCAATCAAGAGAATGGAATATTCTATTAGGTAATGTAATTACAAAAAAACATAGTTTGATAGGGTCACAGGTTATACATTTATGAGATAGTTAATAAGTACAGTATTTATTTAGTTGTGGGTGATTAAGTTGTTTTTAAGAAGAGTCTTGAATTGATAAACAGACAGTGTTTCTTTTTATATTCACAGGTAATGAATTCCAGATTTTTGGGCCTATGTGCATTGTGTTTTTACAGTGTGAGATGGACACAAGGAACATCAAAGAGTGATCTGTGCCTTGTGTTGTAGTCATGTGTTCTGTTGAGGTTGGTAAGAAGTTTGAGGGGAGGGTTTATATCCGAGTTAAGTGTTCTATGTATGTAGTAGGTGCAATAATAAGTATGGATGTTTCGTATGATGAGTAAGTTTACAGTTTTGAATATTGGTGGAGTATGCTGCCTGTAGTGAGAATTTATCATCATTCTGACTGCAGCCTTTTGTTGGGTAATTAATGGTCTGAGATGGTTTATTGTTGTTGAGCCCCATGCACAGATTCCATAGGTGAGATAGGGGTAAATGAGTGAGTGATATAGGGCCAGGAGGGTTGACTGTGGAACATAGTACCGTATCTTCGATAGTATGCCTACGGTCTTGGAGATTTTCTTGGAAATGTGTTGTATGTGTGGGTTTTAAATTTGAGTCTATTATCAAGGTGGATTCCTAAGAATTTTCCCTCTGTGAGCTTTGTGATAGGTGATCCGTTTATCATTATGTTAAGAGGGACATCTGTGGTTCTGTTTCCAAACTGTATGAAGTAGGTTTTGTCAATATTGAGAGTAGGTTTGTTAATCATCATCCAGGTAGATATTTTCTGTAATTCGGTATCTACAGTATTGGCTAGCATGACTGGGTTTGGGTGAGAGAAGATGTATGTAGTGTCATCTGCAAATAGTGTGGGCTTGAGTAGTTGTGATGCATTTGGTAGGTCGTTTATGTAAATGAGAAAGAGAAGAGGGCCAAGGACACTTCCCTGTGGGACACCAACTGTAATTGGCTGTGTGAAAGAGTTTGCTCAATTTGTGTATACAATTTTATGTGCAGCAAATCATGGTCAACTGTATCAAAAGCTTTACGTAAATCAATGAAGATCCCCAATGGGACTACTTTTTTCTCGAGTGCAGTGCATACTTACCACATAGATGCATTCTCTCATATCAAGGCCCAAATTTACCGCTCATATCTCATGTGAGTGAGCTGAGCTCATGGTGTAGAACTACGGCTTGGACCCAGGCTTCAAAGCCGTAAAACTACAGGATGGACTCTCAGAAGGTTAAATAATATGTCAATAAAACATTAATTTTCTTTTTATTCTTTTTAGTAATTATTACAGGAAAAGGGGTTACTAGCCCATTGTTTCCGGCATTTTAGTTGACTTTTACAACATGCATGGCTTACGGAGGAAAGATTCTTATTCCACTTCCCCATGGATATAAAAGTAATAAGAAGAAGAACTATTAAGATAAAATCAAAGAAAATTCAGATGAGTGTGTATAAATAAACACATACATGTATGTGTAGTGTGACCTAAGTGTAAGTAGAAGTAGCAAGACGTACCTGTAATCTTGCATATTTATGAGACAGACAAAAGACACCAGCAATCCTACCATCATGTAATTACAGGCTTTTGTTTTACACTCACTTGGCAGGATGGTAGTACCTCCCTGGGTGGTTGCTGTCTACCAACCTACTAAGGGCAATGTGTGGTGTGAATATTATGCAGAAAATTCGAAGTGTGGAAATTAGGAGAAGGTGTGGAGTTAATAAAAGTATTAGTCAGTGGGCTGAAGAGGGGTTGTTGAGGTGGTTTGGTCATTTAGAGAGAATGGATCAAAGTAGAATGACATGGAGAGCGTATAAATCTGTAGGGGAAGGAAAGGGGGGCTAGGGGTCGTCCTCGAAAAGGTTGGAGGGAGGGGCAAAAGAAGGTTTTGCGGGCGAGGGGCTTGGACTTCCAGCAAGCGTGCATGAGTGTGTTAGATAGGAGTGAATGGGGACGAATGGTATTTGGGACCTGGCAAGCTGTTGGAGTGTGAGCAGGGTAATATTTAGTGAAGGGATTCAGGGAAACCGGTTATTTTCATATAGCCGGACTTGAGTCCTGGAAATGGGAAGTACAATGCCTGCACTTTAAAGGAGGGGTTTGGGATATTGGCAGTTTGGAGGGATGTGTTGTGTATCTTTATACATATATGCTTCTAAACTGTTGTATTCTGAGCACCTCTGCAAAAACAGTGATTATGTGTGAGTGAGGTGAAAGTGTTGAATGATGATTGAAGTATTTTTTTTTGGGGGGTTTTCTTTCTTTTTTGGGTCACCCTGCCTCAGTGTGAGACAGCCGACTTGTTGGAAAAAAAAAAATAATTTTCCTATTTCTGTATTGTAAATAAAATTGAAGTGAAGGTAGGAACTATGGAGACAGTGAGTTAGGTGGTGTGATATTTAAAGTGTATGTAGGAACTACAAAAGCACTGAGTTAGGTGGTGTGATGATATTTAAAACTGGAAACATTACTGCTTTAGAGACTTTCTGTAAAGAATAAAAAACTGCAAGGTACATACTTTTCATGGAGATAATGAACTAAATAACTTTGATTAAAAAATGAGTAAAGTGAAAAACTGCCACTTGCCATAGCTTTAGCACATTGGCCACTGGATGATCAGATAATGGTAACTGCTGTGGACGTTTTGGTCCCCAGTACTGCAAGTGTGTTTTTGCAGACAGCCAAGACTTGGCTCGGTGAACCTGCTCCAGTAATTCTCGAGTAGTGGGCTGCTTGGAGGAACACACTATTTCTACATTGTATGGTGGCAAATTCTTCACTAAACAAGCCTGTAACTGTGTAGCATCATTGCCTTCATTATCACTGCAATCACTATCTACTGACCAGTCCTGAAATAATGTTGACTCAAGTTAATATATGGAAAAGTATTCATTACTGTAGAAGAACTTATATTAACACTATATGGTTAAATAATGATCTCAGTCTAGGTACTTTTGTACCAATGCAATATTTATTGAAGCCTGAAGTTCCCCCATCCTAAAACAATTTACCATAAATTTCTTCTATCACTAAAATTATGTATTGTATTTAATCTATTTAGCCATCAGTTAAATTATTAGATGGCTGAAGGATGTCCTAAGTGCAAGGGACAAACAATTTTGTGGTCATGATTTTAAAGGGAGAGTTACTTCCTTTTCCTGTAGGGAAATTGTCATGTATCTATTATATTAAGCACACACGTCTTTCGATTTACAGTACAGTGGACCCCCGCATAACGATGGCATCGCATAGCGATTTTTCCGCATAACGATTACTTTTATCGCAAAATTTTTGCCGCGCATACCGATTAAAAACCCGCATACCGATTTTCGTCCGAGACGTGTCCAATGTGCCCTCACATGTGCCGGCCGTCCCATTGTTTACCAGCCAGCCTCCGCGGTAACATCCAAGCATACACTCGGAATATTTCGTATTATTAACAGTGATTTTCGGTGCTGTTTCTGGAAAATAAGTGACCATGGGCCCCAAGAAAGCTTCTAGTGCCAACCTGTGGTAAAAAGGTGAGAATTAGTATGAAATTAAGAAAGATTTTGAAGGTTGGGGCTAACCTGAGAAGCCTATGCCATTGTGGAATCCATTGTGCCTACTTCAAAGATTAAGAAATGTGTGCAGAGTGGGTTGAACTGCAACCTTTATAGATTGGAAAATCACCCTGACACAGCTGTTGCAATCCGTGCTTGTGACTATTTCAATGACAATGTTTGGCCCATTTTAGAAAGTCTTGAGGAACGGTGAGGTACAGAGCTCTATGGACGAATTTGTTGTGCGAAGAGTCCAGTGACTCTTCAAGCTGGTCTAGTGGCATTAAAAAAGAAGGGAAAGTAACCCAGAAAAGGACTTGCTACCTCAAGTCCTAATGAAGGGGATTCCCCTTCTAAACAGTTAAGAGATAATGCTCTCCCCTCTCCATCCCATCAATCATCACCAGATCTTCAATAAAAGTAAGTGTCATGTAATTGTGCATGCCTTTTTCAGTTTGTGTGTATTAAAATTAACATTTCATGTGGTAAAAAAAAATTTTTTTCATACTTTTGGGCGCTGAGGATTAATTTCTTTCATTATTCTTATGGGAAAATTCATTCGCATAATGATTATTTCGCATAACGATGAGCCCTCTTGCACGGATTAAAATCGTTAACCGGGGGTCCACTGTATATCAGTACTCAGGCTGCTGCAACATTTTTACTCAAAACTTCATGCTTGCCTGCTTTTTAATATGCTGCTAAAAGTTCTTCCCTAAAATCATAATTCACCACATTTTGCTCTCCCTTCTGCCCCTCCAAAAAATTATATGCTGGAACTTACAGAGAGAGGTTCCTCTGGTCCAAGGACATACTTGGTTTCACCATTTCTAAGGTACACTGCCCAGTCAATCTGCTCCTGCAATTCATCTTCAGTGTTCTCAGGAGAAGCTGCAACCTTCTGGATCTCTTGCAATGGGACTTGTGTAGGGCTGTTACTCAAATGTAACAAGAGAGACAGCAAGGACCATTCTACATCAGTCTGTAACAATTAACCGGGCATGAAAATTTGTATGAGTTGTTAACACACTACCCTTCATGAAGTTCACTTACCTGCTTCAACCATTAGCTTTACCTAAGTATTAAAAACATTAACCTATAAGCGATACATAAATATTATACACTGTAACATAACTGACCAGACAAGATTAAGCATCACCATTACCTACAAAAAAAAAAAAATACATAAATACTATATTAAAAATATCTTTGAGCAGGTTCAAATAAGCAACTCAGTACATAATTATTTAAATACTACAAAAAAAAACTATCTCAATACTACAAAAAAACTATCTCTAATACATGAGGGCTCTACTTATACAGTATGTTAGGCTCCAGGCTACTACTGCATACAAAAGCTCCAGGCTACTGCTGTAGCCTGGATCTTTTTTAAGCATTTTTCACTTTCAAATGCATATAAAAGCCTGATAACATGTTTCCACTAAGTGAGCAATAGAGCTAGGCCTAAAAAATGTATATACAGTGGACCCCCGCATAACGATTACCTCCGAATGCGACCAATTATGTAAGTGTATTTATGTAAGTGCGTTTGTACGTGTATGTTTGGGGGTCTGAAATGGACTAATCTACTTCACAATATTCCTTATGGGAATAAATTCGGTCAGTACTGGCACCTGAACATACTTATGGAGTGAAAAAATATCGTTAACCAGGGGTCCACTGTAGAGTACACACATTACTTACCCTAAAATATTTTTGTCCTTAGCTTACAGTGAGTGGTGAATATATTTATTGTAGGAAGTCTGAATAAATGAAGACTAGGTATAATTGAAAACTACTTTATTAGTGAAGCACTGTAAAGTGGGGCTCACCTGTATATACAATAAATAAATTACAGGTATTAAGTATTAGTCTGTCTTACTTGAAAATGATCTTGGAAGAGAGGAGAGGCAAGAAAATTTGATGTGAGAGAAGTCAGTTGTTGAGCTCGATGGTGCTGGCCATGAATGGTGAACTTCAGAGCAAGACCTTCAACTGAACGACGTACAGCATGACTGTTTACGGCCAGGCAGTGGTGATATAACAGGTTAGACAAGACAAACTGCTCACTTCGGACAAAGTTCTCTTCACCTTCCTGAAAGACATTATTTATATCAAAGTATAATTATTATAATTTTCAATGATTAATAGAACTAATCAGTCTGATTCAAGCCTAGATGAATAAATAAATTAACAATGTCAAAAAAATACTAGGTTAAAGTTCCTCTACAGAAAGGCACAGATAAAGTGAACAAGATTTTGTCTTGTTCTTATTCATTGTGATGTAGATTACTCCTGCCTATCATGGTATTCTGTTCTAGCAAAAACTGCATAATTAACTACAAATTATCCAAAAGAAAATGGTGAGATTTACCATGTATGCCAGGATAAACTATGAAAATCTAAATTACTAAAAAAATAAACAGTGATAGCTGAAACTAAGATACAACATTTTTTTCCTAAAAAGGTTAGAAGCCAATATCAATATTGTACTAAGGGAATTAAAATTTTGTAGTACCCTCTGAAGGCGGCTAGGCATCAAACACTTTTTTTTATACAGTAATAAATCTAGAACAGATTACCTGCTCATGTCACGGCCTATTATCACACTTGTCAGTGATAATGGGCTAGTGGAATAAAAAATAAAGACACAGTGACAACTTTAATTTGTAAAAAGAAAAATACTTGGCACTGTTACAAATGACTAAAAAAAAACATACAGTGGACCCCCGCCTTACGATGGCATCGCGTTACGTTAAATCAGCCATGCGATACATTTTAACGCAAAAATTTTGCCTCGCCTCACGCAATTCGCCTGGGACACATCCCACGCGTGGCCTCAGCTGCCCCGTGCGTGCCAGTGTTTACAAGCTAGCCAGTGCAGTCGCATCCATGCATACATTCGGTACATTTCACATTATCACAGTGTTTTTAGTGATTGTAGCTGCAAAGTAAGTCACCATGGGCCCCAAGAAAGATTCTAGCGCCAACCCTACGGGAAAAAGGGTGAAAATTACTATGGAAATGAAGAAAGAGATAATTGCTAAGTATGAAAGTGGAGTGCGTGTCTCGGAGCTGGCCAGGTTGTATACCAAACCCCGAATCAACCAATGCTACTATCATGGGCAACAAAACGGCAATCAAGGAAGCTGTTCTTGCAAAAGTGCAAGTTTGTGTTCAAAACAGATATCACAAGTGATAGATGATGTTGAGAGACTGTTATTGGTGTGGATAAGCGAAAAACAGATAGGAGATGGAATCTCTCAAGCGATCATATGTGAAAAGGCTAGGAAGTTGCAAGAGGATTTAATTATAAAAATGCCTGCAACTAGTGGTGATTTGAGTGAATTTAAGGCCAGCAAAGACTGGCTTGAGAGATTTAAGAATCGTAGTGGCATACATAGTGTGATAAGGCATGGTGAGGCTGCCAGTTCGGACCAAAAAGCGGCTGAAAAATATGTGAAGGAATTCAAGGATTACATAGACAGTGAAGAATTGCAACCTGAACAAGTGTTTAATTGCGACGAAACAGGCCTGTTTTGGAAGAAAATGCCAAGCAGGGCCTACATTACTCAGGAGGAAAAGGCACTCCCAGGACACAAGCCTATGAAAGACAGGCTTACTCTTCTGATGTGTGCTAATGCTAGTGGTGATTGCAAAGTGAAACCTTTATTGGTGTATCACTCTGAAACTCCCAGAGCATTCAGGGAAAACAATGTCGTCAAGGCTAATTTGTGTGTGATGCGGAGGGCAAACAGTAAGGCATGGGTCACCAGGGACCTTTTCTGTGACTGGTTACACTATGCATTTGCCCCCACTGTGAAAAATTACCTAATGGAAAAGAAATTGGACCTTAAGTGCCTCCTGGTATTATACAATGCTCCTGATCATCCTTCAGGCTTGGCAGAGCGACTTTCTAGGGACATGAGCTTCATTAAGGTCAAGTTTTTGCCTCCTAATACCACTCCTCTCCTGCAGCCCATGGACCAGCAGGTCATTTCAAACTTCAAAAAGCTCTACACAAAAGCTATGTTTCAAAAGTATGTACTTTGAAGTGACCTCAGACACTCAATTGACTCTAAAGAGAGTTTTGGAAAGATCACTTTAGCATCCTCAGTTGTGTAAACCTTATAGGTAAGGCTTGGGAGGGAGTGACTAAGAGGATCTTGAACTCTGCTTGGAAGAAACTGTGGCCACAATGTGTAGAAGAAAGGGATTTTGAAGTGTTTGGGGCTAACCCTCAGGAGCCTATGCCAGTTGTGGAATCTACTGTGGCATTGGGAAAGTCCAAGGGGTTGGAAGTTAGTGGGGAGAATGTGGAAGAGTTGGAGGAGGACAATAAAGAACTAACCACTGAAGAGCTGCAGGATCATCTTCAACAGCAAGAGGCCAGACCTGAGGAAACTGCTTCAGAGGAGGGGAGAGAGAAATTAAGGAAGTTGCCTACTTCAAAGATTAAGGAAATGTGTGCAAAGTGGGTTGAACTGCAAACCTTTGCAGATGAAAATCACCCTGACACAGCTACTGCAAGCCGTGCTGGTGACTATTACAATGACACTGTTATGGCCCATTTTAGGAAAGTCTTAAAGGAACGGGAGGTACAGACCTCTATGGACAGATTTGTGCGAAAGAGGTCCAGTGACTCTCAAGTTGGTCCTAGTGGCATTAAAAGAAGAAGGGAAGTAACCCAGGAAAAGGACTTGATACCTCAAGTCCTAATGGAAGGGGATTCCCCTTCTAAACAATAACAACTTCCACACTCTCCTCTCCTCCCATCCCATCAATCATCACCAGATCTTCAATAAAGGTAAGTGTCATGTATTCTATTCTTAGTAGAGTAGTAATTGTGCATGTCTTCTTTAGTTTTTGTGTATTAAAATTAATATTTCATGTGGTAAAAATTTTTTATTTTCATACTCTGGGGTGCCTTGCACGGATTAATTTGATTTCTATTACTTCTTATGGGGAAAATTAATTCGCCTTACGATAATTTTGACTTATGATGAGCTCTCAGGAACGGATTAATATCATAAGGCGGGGATCCACTGTATTTGCTAGCTTAAAAATAAATTAATTCACTGCTCACTTACTGTACACACACAGTACTCTCCATACAGCCTCTTCTCACTTAACAATGGAGTTCCATTCCTAAGACATTGTCAGTAAACAAATTCGTTGCTAAGCAAGGAACATACTACAGGTCGGACATCACTAATCCAGCACTCAGTTATCTGGTTCCACCAATAATCCAGCATTAATTTCGGCCAATATAATCTCGAATTTCATCGCTGTACCGACTCGAATTTCATCGCTGTACCGACTCGAATTTCATCGCTGTACCGACTCGAATTTCATCGCTGTACCGACTCGAATTTCATCGCTGTACCGACTCGAATTTCATCGCTGTACCGACTCGAATTTCATCGTTGTACCGACTCGAATTTCATCGTTGTACCGACTCGAATTTCATCGTTGTACCGACTCGAATTTCATCGTTGTACCGACTCGAATTTCATCGTTGTACCGACTCGAATTTCATCGTTGTACCGACTCGAATTTCATCGTTGTACCGACTCGAATTTCATCGTTGTACCGACTCGAATTTCATCGTTGTACCGACTCGAATTTCATCGTTGTACCGACTCGAATTTCATCGTTGTACCGACTCGAATTTCATCATTGTACCGACTCGAATTTCATCGTTGTACCGACTCGAATTTCATCGTTGTACCGACTCGAATTTCATCGTTGTACCGACTCGAATTTCATCGTTGTACCGACTCGAATTTCATCGTTGTACCGACTCAAATTTCATCATTTTACAGACTCAAATTTCATCATTATACCGACTCAAATTTCATCATTATACTGACTCAAATTTCATCATTTTACTGACTCAAATTTCATCATTTTACCGACTCAAATTTCATCATTTTACCGACTCAAATTTCATCATTTTACCGACTCAAATTTCATCATTATACTGACTCAAATTTCATCATTATACCGACTCAAATTTCATCATTATACCGACTCAAATTTCATCATTATACCGACTCAAATTTCATCATTATACCGACTGTTACGGCCCCCTGCCAAACTAGCGGTTAAATAGTTAACCTGCCAGCCAGCAGTACTACTGGGTACGTCATCAAACCCATTGTGGGGACTGCTGAGCCGGCCTTAGCAGCATTAAGTACCTGAACACCTCACGGTACGCACCGCAGCAGTAGGTACCTGAATACCTCACGGTACACATCTACTGGCTTTAGAAGCAGTAAGTACCTGAACACCTCACGGTACACATCTAATGGCTTTAAAAGCAGTAAGTACCTGAACACCTCACGGTACACATCTACTGGCTTTAGAAACATTACGTACCTAAACACCTCACGGTACACATCTACTGGCAGTAAGTACCAGAACACCTCACGGTATGCATCTAAGCAGTAATTACCAGAACACCTTACAGTATAGATCTACTGGCAGTAGAGAGTATTCTCCTGCCCATCTTATGGTATTTCTACTGGCGTTAGAGGAAGCGCTCACCGCAGCTTACTGAGTCTGTTGGCCTCAGTTACTTGACGGCCGCATTCAGTGAGCTCTCAGCATGGTGTTCTGCTAGTAATTAATCAGACCACCTTGCGGTGTGTCAACTGGTCTTGAAGGCGGTAGATAGTACTCACCAGACCATCTTACGGTGTGCTTCTGCCGGCTTTAGAGAGTATTTATAGGATTACCAGGTGATGTCTGCGGACTCTCCGCCTACGCTGGTCAACTGTGGGCCGGAGTCATCTGATGCTGTTTTAGTGTGACATTACATGAAGAAAAGGTTGGAGTGTTACACTGAACTGGGCTAGGACCGTAGTGTGACACTTAGGGAAGTACAGTGGTCCCTCAATAATCGTCCGGCCTGAAAGTCGTCCATTTCGGAAATAGTCCTGTTTTTTCGTCAAAATATTGGCTCGCAAATGGTCCGGTAACTCGCTAATAGTCCTTCGTCCCAGACGCGTACTCACACTCTGAGCCGCCTCGGCCTTTCCTTCCCAGCCAGTGTGCCATTGTTTACCAGTGAGCGATGGTACCTTCACGTGC